CCCGGATAACAGGCATGGTCAGAGAGAAGGTCGGGAGAGTAGCCAACTGGCAGCCAGACTCCTTGGCTTCAGCAGAAGGGGGTTTTGGATGGAGGGGCTGGTGTCAGATGGACTGCTGGGAGTCGGGGGAGTCCTCACAGCCGGGATATTTCTGCCTGCCCCTCATGCCAGCCCAGCCTTCTTATAATCACCCGCCACTGTTAGTGACCGAGGCCCGCGATGCCGCCGCACTGTACCCTTTAAATCTCCAACAGGTCCGCTGGAGGAGGGAGGTGGGAGGAGAAGAGGAGAGGCAGGATCGAGGGGGAGGGGGAGAGCAAGGGAGAGGAGGAGGGGCGGGGTGTGAGGAGAAAAGGAAGAGAAATTAAAAAGAGGCACATGCCCAGCAGGACGCAGCCAGCCCACGAGAAATGAAAATGAAAGGCTCGGGAGACACTAGTGAGGGAGGTTGCAGAGCTCCCGCTGGGGCTCCGAGCAGACGGACGGACGGACGGGGCACTCCCCTGCAAGGGAGAGGTCCTGCAAGGCCCAGCCCCGGTGGTGGGGGCTGGGGAGGGCCCCAGTGGGGCAGAAACAGGAAAGCTGGGCTGATGGGCCCACCCCACCCTCACCCAGGCCCCTGAACTCACCTGAACCTGGGTCACCAGGGGGCACTGTCCTGCCGATGTTGGGCAGGAGGTACTCGATGTTGGGCACTGACTGGGGCTCCTTGTCATCCACAGGGGTCTGCAAATAGGAGGAGGGGTCACCCAGCATGTCCTGAGATGGCTGGACTGCAGACCCCTCAGAATGGGGTGCCCTGGTGACAGAGTACATGTCTCCTCCATCAGACGGGCTCACCAGGCCAGGGACTGGCTCCCTCATCAGTCAGGCCCTCCTGAGGGCAGGTCCTGCACGTCTCCATTGGCTGTTCTCTGCCTTCCCCATAGAACCTGAAGGTCTGAGTTGCTCCCTCAGCTGAGGGCCAGGGCTGTGTCTCCCCATCAGACCGACCAGAGCTTTCTACAACCTACATCCTTCTTGTGAGACCAGAGGGCAGGAACCACCTTTGCTACCAGGTGGGCTTCCTCAGAGGAAGGCCTGTATTCCCCCACCAGACTTGGGGCTCATGAAGGCAAGGACTGTCTCTCCCACCTGAGTAGAGGTTCCTGAAGAGAGAGTCAGTGTTTCCTCCATCGGACTGGGGATGCACTAAGGGCAGGGACCCTCCCCTGATGAGTCTGCTACCCACCAGCCACAGGCTCAAGCCCCCCCACCCTTAGCCCCCTGCATTACTCACTCTCTCTCCCTTGTCCTCATCCTCGCTGAAGAACCAGTCTGACTGCAGACAAAACGAGAAAAATCATATGATTATCTCAATAGATTAATAAAAAGCACTTAATCATGTCCAGCACATGAATATGCTTAGAAAAGAAATTTTTAACTAGGAATAAATGAGAACTTCTTTAGCTTTATAAATAGTTCAATAGTACATCTAAAGGAGAAATTTTGGACACAGTCTCTTTGAGGTCAAGAGTAAGGACAGACAACCACTGTTACTCTTCAAAATAAGACTGAAAGTTCTGGCCAACATAATAAGACAAGAAAAAAGAAATAAAAGGACAAGGATTAGAGAAAATAAAATTGAGATTATTTAAGGATGTAATGTAATTATTTGCAGATGACATCTACTTAAGAAACTCAGCAGAATCAATAGAGCTAATGAGAAAATTCAGTAATATTGTCATAAAATACACATCAGTGTGCTTCACAATTCTGTGAATGCACCAGAAACCACCGAGTCATACAACTTAAGCAGGCAATTGTATGGTCTGTGAATTATACTCAGTAAAAATGTTACTTAATGGGGCCAGCAGTTGTCATAATGACTATGTCGCTGGACTCCCATGTAGTCGACCGTGGTTCGAGTCCTGGACTCGGTGGCTTAAACTCATGTCGGGCGCGCGTGTGTGCATGCCCAAGATCCCGAGAGGAGAATGGAGGAGAAGGGATTGTGGCGTGGCCAATCCCCCTGGGGGGTGACTTCTCGTTTTCTGTCTCTCTGTCTCTGTCTTTCTGGCGAGCGCACGTGCCCTATAGCAAAAACTTCTCCAAAGGAAAAAAAAAGTTATGTAATAAAGAGTCTGTGCCTCCATGCTAACACAACCATGTAGAAAAGAAGATAGAAAATACAACAATATCATTCGTAATAGCAGCGAAATAAATAGTGCATCTAGAAAGTAACCTTATAACAAAGGTACAGGGCCAGCAGGTGACTTGGTGAAGGCTCCGGACTCCCACATGGTCAACTGTGGTTCGAGTCTCAGACCTAGCAGCTTAAAACTCAAGTTGGGCGCATATGTGTGCATGCCCAAAATCTCAACAGGAGAATGGAGAAGAGACTGCGACACAACATGGCCGTCTCCTCTAGAAGTGATTTCTCACTTTCTTTCTGGCAAGTGCACACACCCTACAGCAAACAAAAACAGACAAAACAAACAAACAAAAAACAAACAAACAAACAAAAAACTAAATTGAGGACCAGAAGATGTCCTAATGCTTATGTTAAAATTACAAAATGGGAACCAGCGGATGGCATAGTGGTTTCGTTGCTGGACTCCTACATAGTTGACCACAGTTAGAGTCCTGGACCTGGAGGTTTAAAACTCACGCCGGCCATGTGTGCGTGTGTGCCCAAAATCCTGAGAAGAGAATGAAGGAGAAGGTATTGTGGTGTGGCCATCCCTCCGGAGGGGGGTGATTTCTCACATTCTGTCTCTCTAGCAAGCACACGCACCCTATAGCAAAAATCTCTCTCAAAAATAAAAAAAATAAAAAAAGACTCTCAAAAAAATTAGTAACTATTTTTTAAAAAGAAAGAAAACACACAGAATATTCTAAGGACTCGATATATTTAAAGTAGGCAGCGGGTGGATTGGAAGGGCACACGCTATGAGGGCGGGCTCTAAGAGGAAAGGGGAGCAGAGCGAGGTCAGGGATAAAGGCGGGAGACAAGAGGACATGCACGACCGTGAGTTCGGCTATTATTCATCATGACCAGTGTCTGACTAACTCAGATGAGCGGCCCAGGAAGTCCAGAAGAGAAATGGGAGGCAGAAGAGGAGACAGCGAGAGGGTGAGAAAGAAGTGAATGGTCTGGTGTCTGCCGTCCTGGTTCGAATCCACTTGGGGCAAGTTATTTGACTTCTCTGAGTCTATTTACTCATCGGTAAAATGGGCATGATAAAGGCAACTACTTCTAGAACTGTGATGAGAACTAAGATGATGAAATTGGGGCAAGTCAGTGGCCTGGTGGTTAAGGTGGCTACACCCCACGTGGCCTACTGGGCACTTTAAGTCCTAGACCCAGCAGTTTGAGAAACATGCCAGGTGCATGTGCGTGCATGCCCAAATCCAAAATGGAGGGAAAGGTGGAGGAAAAGACTGGCAGACCATCCCCCGTGGGTGGCTGCTTTCTTACTTTCTCTTTCTCCATGAGCACATGTGCCCTTTGTCAAATTGTTAAAAAATGATCAAACTGTATGTAACAACATCACTGCTAGTACATAAGTGTGAGCTACTATAATTTATTTTTTAGAATTATTTAATTTTGGGGCCAGCAAGTGGCATGGTGGTTAAAGGCACTGGACTTCCACATGACCAACCATGGTTCAAGTCTTGGACCTGGTGGCTTGCTTTCTCACTTCCTCTGTCTCTCTCTGATCAAACTGGAAAATAATAATGATAATAATACTAAATAAAGTTAAATAAAATAATTCTTTAAAAAAAGAATTATTTAATTTTATTTATTTAATGATACTATTTTCATTTAACTTTATTTAGTATTATTATTATTTTAATTTGACCAGAGAGAGAGAACGTGAGAAAGCAAGCTGCCAGGTCCAGGGTTTGAACCACAGTTGGCCATGTGGGAATCTGGCACCCTTAACCACCAGTTACCTGCTGGCCCCTTTATTTATATTTTTAGAGAGATTTTTGGTATAGGGTGCGTGTGCTCACTGGAGAGACAGAGAGACAGAAAGCAGGAAATCACCCTCCGGGGGGATGGCCACACCGCAATCTTTTCTCCTCCATTTTCCTCTTGGGATCTTGGGCACACACACATGCTCAGCATGAATTTAAGTCACCAGATCTTGGACTCGAACTGTGGTGGATTACGTGGGAGTCCGGCAACGTAACCATTATGCCATCAGCAGGTCCCTATATTGTTATTATTGTTACTTTTTAAGTTTGCTACAGGGCTCATGTGCTCACCAGAGAGACAGAAAGAGAAAGAGAAAGAGAAAATGAGAAAGAAAGCCACCAGTTCCAAAATTTGAACCGTGGTCAGTCATGTGGGAGTCCAGTGCCTTAACCATGATGCCACCTGTTGGCCCCATGATTATAATGAAAAGGTGCAGTCAGTCCCCAGAGACAGGTTGGTCAAAGGGAGCCAGGGATTGGCCCAAAGAAGCCAGCCTTTTTAACTTTTAGAGGGAACCCCAACGTGCTCGGGGAGCCCAAGAGTCGACGGGAAGCCTCCGGTGGCCCACGGCGCTCCAGAAGTGTTCACAGCAGTTCATGTCTCCCTGCTTTGGCATATGCTGTTCCTCCTGCCCGAAATGCTTTCTCTCTTCTCTGCCTGGCTGAGTTCCTTGTGGTCTAAGACAGTTCGAGAACTCCCTGGCTCCAGCCCCAGCCCCGAACCCAGGGCTTGTGGGGGGCAGGGGTTCCTTCTGGGGGCTCCCTGGGCCCAGAGCATGGAGAATGCTTGACCGCAGCACCCCTTCAGAGCAGAGAGGGGCTTCCAGGCATCACTGCGTGCCCAGCGCCTGGACCTGTCTCAGGTGGAGTAACAATGGTGGTGCCAACGGTGAGTGATGGCGGTGAACTCCTACAGCGCTTACTGCCAGGCACGCCTTGGGCGCTTTAACTATGTAGCCCTCACGTAACCCTGTAAGGTATGCACTGCTATTTAAGTTCATTTATTCCACAAATGAGAGAAAGAGCCAGAGAGACAGCACTCCCACGGGTCTTCACGCCGCGGTCCACCCCAGCATCAGCCAGCCTGGGGTCACGGGCACATACATGCCTACACGCTCAGGGGTCCCTGGACAGGAGCCCACACTTTACCACTGTGCCACTGTCCGACCCAGACGTAAATACCGTTGTAATCTCCACTTCACAGATGAGAAAATCGAGGCATAAAACGGGTGGGAAACCTGTCCAAGGCCGCACAGCACAAACGGAGCAGGTGGCTCCAGAGCCGGGGCCTTCGACCTCTCGGCCAGGGCAGCTTTGCCCCGGGGCATTTCTGGTTGCTGAAACTTGGGGGATGTTCCTGGTGTCTAGTGGGTGGGGGCTGGGGACGTGCAGGCCAGCCCCCACGATGAGGGACCGTCAGGCCCAGGGTCCCCAGTGCCGAGGTCACGGAGTGACTGAATGAGGCGGCCCCCGCTGAGTTCTGCAGGCTTAGTAAACCTGGGTACGCGACCTGGGTACGCGCGAGCAGCCTGCCACAGGGCTGTGCTCGGACGCTTGCTCTGCCCGCTCTGGTGCGTGACCCTGAGCAGTCGCCACTCCTGTGCAGGCCTCAGTGGCCACTCTACGGCAGGAGGACCGGTCTGGATGCTGAAGGCCCCTCCAGCTCTGCAGCCCAAGGGTTCCCTGGGTGACAGGAGCCCCAGGCAGAAGTGGGGTGACTGCTGTGCCTGAGATGCCCAGCCTGAGGTCCAATGCCCCTGACCCCAGCCACTCGCAGATGGCCGGGCGCCCTGAGACAGTCCCAGCCGTCTCTGCAGCAGTCTGAGCCAATCGCGGCCTGGGCTCATGGCGTCACCGCTCCTGGCTATCGGCCTCTGGGCTAGATGGCCCCAGCACACGTGGGTGGGCAGTGGAGGGCCTGTGGCCCATCCTCTGGGCCATCACTTGATTCTGTTCGAATGCCAAGGAGCCGGAGGATGGAAGGGCACCGGCGCAGCTAGTTCTCGGGACGAGCGCCTGTGTGGGCAAGCCCAGGCTAACCCAGCCTCAGCTAGCCGCTCACCGGCTCATCTATTCCAGGAACACCGAGTGCTCACCACGCGCCCACCCGGCTCTAGGCTCGGTGTTAAAGGAGGCAGACAGGCCCGCCTCCTTCCGGCCTGCCCAGAGGAAGGCCTCCCGCTCTGGGAGAGTAAGGGGGTCCACTTTGGGCCTCCTTTTTCCCTGTGCCCAGTGGACCACTGGCCTCAGGACCCCAGGGGCTTCTCCAGGGTCCACAGTGCCACAGCCCTATCTTCCCCGCTCTGCCTAGCAGGGCACACACTCTCGGGAGGCTCCAGGGCCCGCCTGCTCAGGGGAGCGGAACTTCCCCAAGGCTTCATCGGGATCCCCGGCAGCCCCACCCTCTCCGGCAGCCCCGGCCTCCCCGGCAGCTCTGGAGTGGGCGCTCGGGCTGGTGGTCCCAATGCATGGATGAAAACAGGCCACAATGTTCCTTCCCACGGCGCTGAGACCCGGCCATGCAGTGAGGGAAAGAAACCTGGCTAGGCCATTTGGTGAGACCCAAAGCTATGCCCCACATGTCCCTGACCCTGGCCGGCCTTCCTCCCTCCAGGGCCAGCTCTTGAAAGGACTCTGGAGTCTGCCTGCCCAGAGGTAGAAAGGGAAACACAGACAGACAGATGGACTGCCACTGCATAGCTGTGTGACCTTGAGCAAGTCACTGTTCTCCGAGCCTCAGTTTCCTCATCGCATTACAGAGGTCATATGGGACTGAGGTTCCCCTCTCCTTTCTCCTGGCAGGGTGGGTCTGATTCCATCCTTTGTGGGCCTCAGCAAACTTGGAAACTATCAATTCATCAGAGCATACCAGAGTGCCCCAGAAGGGGGCGCTGCTGCCTTTGAGTTTGGATCTGGACGACCAGGGCCTCCTGCGCCCTCTGCTGGCCACTCTGGGCTCTCCTCCCCTCGTGGATGTTAACAAGAACCCACAGGAACACAGGCTCCTGGGGTCTCCCAGATGTGGTGAGATAAGAAGTGACCAGCCAGACACTGCACACCAGCACAGGGGCCCGCCTCAGGTCTGGACTCTGCCCCTCCACGCCCCCCGGCCCCGGGCATCACTATCACCTCCCTGAGGCTTCAGTGGGTCAAGCAGAGAAAGTGTCACTAGAGGCCAGGCCTCCTGACTCCCAGGCCGACCTCAGCCCCGCCTGTGCACCTGTCTGCCAGGACACCCCTCTTGGGGGCCTCCTTCCTAAGACACTCCTGAGTTCATCCCTTCCGCCCTCCAGCCAGCAGCACTTCCTGCCCTTCCTCCTCCCTGACTCTTCCTCACACTGGAAGCAGGGGGGGCCTCCTGCTTCTGCTGCTGGGCACCTGATGCCCACAAGGATGGGGAGTCCAGGACCCGTTCCTGCTCTGCCACGCAGCACAGCCCACTGCTTCTGGAGGGCGGCTCCAGCTGTCAGGTCCTTCCCTGAGCACACCCCGGTGCAGCAGGAGCAGGTGCCGTGAGGGACGCAGCCCAGGGTCTGGGGCTGTTGGGCGCCCCCAGGGCAGGCTGCTTACGTGCTGGATCAGCGTCTCCACGATCTTGTAGCGGTCAGGCATGTGGGTCACCATGTCTGTCATGTTGTCCTCAGACGTCCTCACCAGCGTTGGCCCGAAGACCAGGGCCAGGTTCCGGGGCTCCATCTGGGCAGGGGAGGGAAGTAGGTCAGGGCCAACGCTCAGCCTGACCTCCGGCACCTCCTAGCTGCCCCCCACTCCAGGCCCATGAGGCCACCGTCCTCACAGCTGTGCCCAGCTTAAGGCCCCTTGCATGGGCTTGGAGGAGTCTGGCAGGGAGAACACAGGCCAGATTTCAGCCCCACTCGTCCAGCAGCCATGAACAGTGCCGAACCTGCACACCCGTGCAGGACGGCTCTGGGGGTCAGCGCGAACAGTGGGGATCCTGCAGTGGAAGGCGAGTGGGCGGGTGCGAGGGGACTTTGGACTTGGGAAAAACTATCACTTCCTTCATTTTCTTCTGCAGAGCCAGTAGAAGGTTTGATTAGGAAAATGCAACATAAGGGATTTGAACTAGATCTGAGGACAGATCATCAGGGGGTATGGCTTTCTGCCTCGGGGAGATCCTCGGAAACCCAGGAGACAGCTCCGGTGGGGGCACTGGCCGGTGTGTAGGAGATGGGTAGGGGAGAATGGCCTGAGGAGGAGGGCAGGCCCAGAAGGGCTTTAGTCCTCTGACAGGGGAGCTCAGAGCAAGCTGAGCAGAGGCCCCTCCCCAAGTCCTGCCTTCCCTCCCCCAGGCTCCCCCAGGGCCCTACCCACCTTGTTCTTCTCCGAGTGGTCAGCGATGATCTTGAGGTGGCCCACCAGGAATTTGAGTGTCTCGTAGTAGTGTCCTGGAAGGTCTCGGATCTGGGCGGGAGAGAGGAGGGACATGGCTGTGCCAGCCTGGCCCTGCACCCAGCCAGGCCCAGAGGGCTTCACTGCAACCAACACTGCAGGGAGTCTGGAATCCACCCTGGACTCCTTCGTCTCTTGTACAGATGGGGAAACTGAAGCCAGTCGGGTTGTGGCACTGGATGCCGAGTCTCCTGGAACTGGCTCAACCCAGTCAGCCCCATGCACCCTCCTCCCTTACCAGCTTCCGTAGCGTCTTCATCCGCTCCCGGGAGTCCTCAATGCGATTGGCCTCGATGAAGTCGTTGTATTTGTCTAGAACAGAGTGAAGGCGCCTTAGCCCGAGGGGAGCAGCCCCTGGTCCCACTCTCCAGGGCAGTGCTCGGTGCCCATGTTCCAGTCTGGGGGCTCCACGCCCTTGTGTTTGTGCCCAGACGCACGCCAGCTGCACTCGGGAGGAGGAGTAAGACCTGAGCTGCTTGTCGATCCTAGAAGAGGGGTCCCTGCCCCGTCCCCAGGACAAAGACACCGAGGCTCAGCAGGCCAGAAGTTCCTGGAAAGGGGGAGGGGCCTCAGACACACATCGGGACTCCCTACTCTCTTCCACCTCATCGAGACTCCCTACTCTCTTCAGAGAAAGCCAGGCGACTGGAATCCCACATGGCTGACCACGGTTCGAGTCCTGGACCTGGCAGCTTGCTTTCTCACTTTCCTTCTCTCTCTTTGTCTCTCTCTGGACAAATTCAAAATAAAATAAAGTAAAATAAAATAAATGAATAAAATAAAAAAATAAGATACTGCTACAAAGTACTTAAAAGAAAAAAAAGAAAGAGCGTCAGAAGCCTATTCGAAGCCCACCAGGATGAGTGGATGCACAAGCATTGCCAAGTACACATTGTTCATGATAGAGTATGTGCACGTGTGAGAGAGAGAGAGAGAGAGAGAGAGCACCTGATTCTGTCACACTAAGGTCCCTTTTCCCCAGCCTCCAGCTGCTCGGGATCCCAAGCATCCTGCAAGGTTTCAGGCTAACCTGGGGAGCCAAAGCCAGGTCGACCATGTGGCTTCCAGCCTCGCAGGCACTGAGTTACTGCTGTGCCACTATGGCTGGGCCATAAGAATTTTTTTTAGGTTTTTGCCATAGGACACATGCCCTCGCCGGACAGAGACAGAGACAGAGTGAGGGAAAGTGATAAATCACCCCCAGGGGGGATGGCCACGCCACAATTCCTTCTCCAATCTCCTCCCAGGGTTTTGGGTGTGCATGTGCACACACATGCACCTGGTGCGATTCTCAAGCCACCAGGTTCGGGACTCAAACCGCAGTCGGCCACGTGGGAGTTCAGTACCTTAACCACCACGCCACCTGCTAGCCCCCATAAGAATACATTTTAAGGTAAAATGATGAGAAAAGATTTGCCCTTTCAGACACTAAACATACTAGAAAGACGGCACAGCTAAAACACCTGGCACCGACAGCAAGCAGAGCAACGGCAGGGACCGGAAGGTGGGGCACGGGCCGTGTGGAATTTCCTACGTGAGGGAGCAGCATTTCTATCCATGGGGAAGGGTGGCGGTGCCAATAAATGTTCCTGGGGCAAATGTGGGAGGAAAAATCCATTTCTAATTCACATAATACACGAATTTAATTGCACAACAGAACAAGATATACAAATTGCAAAAGCACTGAGGAGAAAATAGAAAATATTTTTTACAATCATAAGGCCTTCCTAAACATGAGATGCAGAATCCACTGAAAAAGATGAACAACTTTACATTTCTTTTTTCAGGTTTTGGTTTTGCTTTGTTTGCCACAGGTTGCCTGTGCTTGCTGGAGAGGACAGAGAGATGGTCATGCTACGTTCTCCTTTTGGGAATTTGGGCACGCATGCACACGCACCCGGCGTGAATTTCAAGCTGCCGCGTCTGGAACTCGCACTGCAGTCGACCATGTAGGAATCTAATGCCTTAACCACCATGCCACCTGCTGACCTTAACTTCATTTTTTAAAAGTTAACTTTATTTCTTTTATTTACTTTTATTCATTTATTTTAATTTGACCAGAGAGGGACAGAGAGAGAAAAAGAGAAAGTAAGAAAGCAAGCTGCCAGGTCTGGGACTCAAACCGTGGTCGGCCATGTGGGAGTCCAGCACCCTTAACCACCATGCCACCTGCCGACCCCCCCCAACTACATTTTTAAAAACTTGTTTTCAGTTTCTATGCTGAAAAGTTTAAAGGCAAGTGGCAGTACAGAGCAAATATTTGCAAATACTGAAGCAAGACAATATATCTATAAAATAGAAAGTTAATTTCCCACAAGTCTATATGAGAATAGAGACAACCCAGTAAAAAAGTGGGCACAGAGTGTGAACAAGCAATTGCAGAGGAAAAAGGAAAGTCAATAGATGAATGAAAAAAGGTGGGAACCAGCAGTTAGCGTAATGGCTATGTCGCTGGATTCCCACATAGTCGACCACGGTTCGCGTCCTGGACCCGGTGGCTTAAAACTCGCACCGGGCACGTGTGCGTGCGTGCCCAAGATCCTGACAGGAGAATGGAGGAGAAGGGATTGCGGCATGACCATCCCCCTGGGGGGTGATTTCTCACTTTCTGCCTCTATGTCTCTCTCTGTCTGGCGAACGCACACGCCCTATAGCAAAATCCGCTCCAAAAAAAAAAAAAAAAGGTTTACTCTTCATAATAATGAGAGAACGAAAATGAAGACAATAATGAGATGCCATTTCCCCTGTCCGATTACCAAAGGTTTGAAATATGAGTAACATTTGACACTAATGAGGCTGCAGGGAGATGAACTCTCTCCTTCGCTCTCAGTGGAGCGTGAACTAGGGCCTGCTTCCCTGAGTGCAAGATTTCTTGTAAGAGAGAAGGGAGAACAGGTACCTCCCCAACAGGGTCTTCGGGCAAGCCTGGGTCATGGGCCTGTGTTCAAGGAGGTTTCAGGACTCAAACCACAACCTTCCTGTGTCCTCACAGAGTGTTGCCTTACTGCCGTGCCACTGTCCAGCTCCCTCGGGGTACAATTTGATATTAGCTTTCAAAAGCTTTTATCAGGGCTTTGACCTAACAAGCCTACATCTAAGCATCTACTTAGAAGGCCCAGATCCAGGTGTGCAAGGACATATCCAAGGTAAGTCACTGCAACAGGTTTATAATAACAAATATATAGGGGGGCCAGCAGGTGGCATGGTGGTTAAGGGCGCTGGACTCCCATATGGATGACCGCGGCTCGAGTCCCAGACCCTGGTAGCTTGCTTTCTCACTTTCCCTCTCTCTGTCTCTCACTCTGTCCCTCTCTAGTAAAATTTAAATAAATAGTTAAATAAAAATAATTATTAAAAAAAAAAAAGAAATATATGAAGATAAGCTAAATATCCATCAATAGTGGAGAAATTATACTCTGTTTAGACTGTGAAATTCTACATGGTTGATTCAAAAGAAGAAAGAGGTATAGCTCCCTATAATGACATGAATGAGCTTCAGGATGTCGGTCCTGTTTTTGTTAAGAATAAACCGACCCTCGCACCTGCTCCGGAGGGCAGATTGTGCGCATCTCCTCCCAAGTCCATGTTGGTGCCCTCGTGCCGCTGGCTTCACACAACGGGAGTACTTACACCATGGCAATTGGAAAACGGCACAAATCGAGACTTGTCCTCCCGGAGAGCCAGGTGTTAAACATTGGCCAGCACAGTGCGGAACTCACCCACCTCCAAACTCTACATACGTATACTGCCAAGCATGCGGGGCCTTTCAAAGTTCACGGAAAGGGGCCAGAAGGCGGTGTGGTGGTTAAGGCACTGAACCTGACCTGACAGCTTAAAACTTTGGGGGTATATGTACCTGCACACCCAAAATCCCCAGAGGAGATTGGAGAAGGGATTGCAGCATGGCCATCTCCCAGAAGGGTGATTTCTCACTTTCCCTCTCTCTGCCTCCCTCTGGTAAGTGCATGCACTCTATGGCAAAAACCTGAACCAAAAAAAAAGAAAGGAAAAGTTCATGGAGGGCTGGCAGATGGCATGGTGGTTAAGACACTGGACTCCCACATGGTTGACCACGGTTTGAGCCCCAGACCTGGCAGTTTGCTTTGTCACTTTTCTTTTCTCTCTCTCTTTGTCTCCTTCTGGTCAAATTAATAATACTAATAAATAATAACAACAAATGAAATTAAATAAATAAGTAATTCTTAGAAAAAAGTTTACAGAAAAATGGAATTTGAGCATAAGATTATTTTGTTGCAAAATAATTTTGAAATCCATGCCTAGGGAACCAGCAGTTAGCGTAATGGCTATGTCGCTGGACTCCGACGTAGTCGACCATGGTTCGAGTCCCGGACCCTGTGGCTTAAAACATGCCGGGCGCGTGTGCGTGCGCGCCCAAGATCCCGAGAGGAGAATGGAGGAGAAGGGATTGCGGCGTGACCATACCCCCTGGGGGGTGATTTCTCGCTTTCTGTCTCTATGTCTCTCTCTGTCTGTCTGGTGAGCACACGCGCCCTATAGCGAAAACCTCTCAAAAAAAAAGAAAAAAAAAATCCATGCCTAGTCTTTTCATAATATGAATTTTCCCATGAGCCTTTGGAGACCCTGGTATGAGAGGGTGAGGACGAAAAACAGCACATTGCTAGTAAGCAGCTCAGTGCGTGGCCCAGGGCCTAGCTCTGGGGCCGGCTACACGGGTGGAACCCTGGCTCTGCCGTCTACTGCTGTGTGAGTTTGGGCAAGTCACGCAATGTCTCTGAGCCTCTGTTTCCTCATCTGGGAGGAGCGGTAATAGTGCCTACCTCCTAGAGTTGCTGCAGGATGCAGTGCTTGGCACACGTAAACACTCTGGAAGTGTTAGCCGTGACCTCTGGGGTGGGGGGAGGATGGCAGGGACTTTGCTGCCCACTTTATTCACATTTGTACTGTCCAAAGCTTTACAGGCAGGTATTTCTTTTATACTAAAAAAAATAAAATAAAATAAGGAACCAGCAGATGGCGTAATGGTTACGTTGCTGGACTAACCTGGCAACTTAAAACTCATGCCAGGCATGTGCGTGCATACCCAGAATCCCAAGAGGAGAATGGAGAAGGGATTGTGGTGTGGTCATCCTCCCTGGGGGGTGATATCTCGCTTTTTTCTTGTCTCTCTGGAGAGTGCATGCGTCCTATAGTAAAAAATCTCTCAAAAAACAAAACAAACAAACAAAACCTCAAAAACTAAGACCAACAGCCGAATATAAAAGTGGTCAAGGTGTAGCAGAGCCAGGCGTCGCTCCCTCCTCTCCCCCACGTCTGTCTCCTACTCACCGTCGGTGAAGAGAGGCTCGGGCAGCTTCCGGAAGAAGGACTTGAGCAGGCTGCTGATCACATTCAGGTCTTGCCAGCGCTGGGGAAGGGGCAGAGATGTCAGGCCACAGGCGGGCAGGCCCAGGTGCAAACCCCCCAAGCCCCCATGCCCCAGGTCCAGTCTGGTCAGCCTGGGCCCTCCCTGGGTCCCCTTACACAAAACTCCACCCAGACCAAGGATTGCGGGGCTGAGAAGACCTCGCCTATCAGCATGGAGGCAGCAGGAGTCTCTCTGCTGAAACTTGTCCCCCACC